GAACAACAGTAAACCATCACCTGTTAAGAAAAATAACATTTTTATGAAAAATAAATTTTCAAAATAAAAAAATTATTTAATATGAAGAGTAACATTGCTTTAAAAGTTTGCCAATCTCTTTAACATCTGGCTTAGTACAAAGCTGGATTCTTACATCTGCTTCTGTATTCAATCTGTTGCCGTAAGTTGTTTAGGTTGAAGTATATGAAGAAAATGTGGCATCACATAGATGTGTAGTTAGAAAAGAGAGGCCTTCAGGTCGAATCCTACTGAAAGGGTCTCAGGGACCCCAGGGTTCTCAGAACAAACTTTGAGGAGAGGTGGCCTAGAGATTAGTAATCCAGAAATACAGAAGTTCACTTTTCTTCTTTTCCAAGTGGTATCAACTGGGGTCCTGTTATTCTTATCATATTAGATGGGAAAACTTACATTCTTCACTCCTAAAACCTAAATGTCACACACTGGACAAAACTTTGAGGCTTTATAGAGCTCATTAGTTCATATTTGTGGTATAAGGTAATGTGAAGATTCTGGCCAGAGGGGTCAGGGGGCTACTGGATTAGTATATGAGTGGTATGCACAGTATAAATAGTATTCAGCTTCCTTAACAGGAAGCCCAACTTGGTATTATTTTCACTTTTATAAAGCAACTTAATATGAACAATTCTACTAGACAGTGAGTCATTTATAAATATTTTTTGTTATTTATTGACACACGTATGTCTAGCCTATCCCTCCCCTGTTTTATCCCAGAGAGCAGTATTGCTGTGCTTTGCAGATACCAAAAATAGCAATTCCTTTAAAACGTTGACTGCACCAGTTCTGTCACTGAGCCAAATCGGTTTTCCTCCCTAATTAAATGGAACTGGCCTGGTTTTACTGTAGTGTGAGAGCCCAGGCAGTCAACCAAAGAACCGTGGGGAAGTCATTTTTAAATTGGGTACTTTGGGTTTGATTTTGTTTTCTCTTTATAGGAAATGACTTGCAGTTGAGTGAGTCTGGCAGTGACAGTGATGACTAGAGCCGGATCTTTTGAAATCAACTTTTTGTGCACAGATCTGCTGCGAGACTAGGCTGCTTTAGCGTGGAGTCCACGCCGAGAGGAAAACGTGAGGATCAGTGACTGTAGGAGGAGTTGGAGGCTCTGGAGCGCTCAGATGTGCATGTCTTTAACATAGCGGTGATGGGTGATTTTCTCGTGTAATTTTTGAACAATGTCACGTTTCAAAGTTTTAAGTAGATCTATAGCAGAACTAACAGAATTATATCTCTTATTTGGTTAACACTGTTAATGAAAAACAGACAAATGTGCCCTGGTTTAGGTTACTCAAAGGCCATTTCTTCACCTAGCCAGTGATCCAGTTGTAAACCTCAGCAGCCACCAGCTTGGCCAAACGGTCTGCACCAGTGAAATGAAACAGTCTTTGAGGGGTGGGCAGGGAGGGAAACCTCAAACTGCAGCATAGATGCATGTTTAAACCACTTTCAATTATTTGCACAAAGTGGTGAGGAAGTTCTGTCTGACCCAGCCTGAGAAGCCTGTGTAGAAACGGACTTCAGGATGGAGTCCGAGAGGGTCAGCTGGGGGGACCTCAGAGCTCTGCTGGCTCAGCCCCTCGTCTGCGCAGTGCTGGTTTAGGGCTAGTGTCTTGCCCCCAGTCCGGGCTTTTCCCACCGCTCCCGCCCCTGAATCTCACTTACTAGAACCAGAGATTCTAGTTAAGTACACATGGGACTTTAACAGTTGTGCAATGGAGCTTTTATTGGATTCCAAAAGGAAGAAGTGTTGGCTACTTCTAGCCCCAGTTTAGATCCAAACAGTCCCTAAGTGCATGAGGCTAGGGGAGCAGATTAAACCAGCAGCCGCTGTGCTGAGGCATGTGACTCGATTAAGTTGAGGCTTTTAGTTCCATGTGGATCCATAGTGAGTGTGTTTCTTTCAGTAGGTTTCACTGGGGGACTAGGAATGGTAGAGAGGTGAGGTGAAGAAGCCTCTTTGAGCAAATGAGCTGGCAGCCGGTTTCCGGACCAGAATCTGGATAGGAGTCGTGCAGTGTGAAACGAGCACGTGTTTTGATAAGGTTTTTCTGTTCATGCTTTTGTACCACTGTTTGTGCCTGACTCCCAGACTGATTTGTATTTATTATATGCAGCTAGAAGAAAGTCACAGGTTGCCTTCTGCAGTGTGCAGTTTCCAGATGAATCTGTTGTTGCAGGAAACTGGTGACTAGTAAATGTTCCGTATGCAGCAAATGTGTGATAAGTCGTCCCATAATTAGTATGGAGTAGCCCATTTCTGTAATTTGAATGACTGTGTCCTGAGAAATTTCTGTCTCCTTTGGTTCAGTGGTATAAAGAACATTAAGAGTGATTTTTCTTCCTCGAGGTGGCCTCTCCCTCCCCAGCTAGTGGAGGGAAGCAGTCTGGACCTAGAAAGAAATTAGATGATCCATGGTGGGGGCTTAGAGTTGAGCCTTGCAGAGTCACCTTTTAGACCCACACAGTGACCCCAGTGAGCTGGAGAAGGGGGCCTGGCAGCACGCTCACGCCACTCTGCCAGGTGCCACTCAGGGGTCCACGCCAGTGCCCTGTGCTGGGTTCTCAGCCTGTTAATGAGACTTCAGTGGATTTCATGGCATGTAGGAACTTACTTATAATGAATTGATCATTACGTTTTAATTCCTTGGTAATGAAAGCTCAGGGAAGCCAAAAGGTCATGGTTGGGAGACTTGAATTGCTACTGGATGTGAGAATTGTTTCACTGCTCTTAACTTGCTCACTGGGGCAGGTTCCAGGAACTTGAACTATAAATATCTATTTAAGCCTCTCTCTTTCTTTTTTTTTTCCCCTCCCAGAGTCTTGATATATGTAGACAAAACTGCGGTTTGGGGCCTATCGGGTCAAGATGTTTGTTTCTATAGGAAGTGCTTGCAGGTGGCAGTGGGCTTGGTGAGTTAGGCTCGCTGAGCTCAGACCCTCTCCCCGTCATCCATCCTGCCCAGCCCTGCACAGTGGTAACATCTGCTAGCACAGCTCCCGTTTTGTTCTCTGCACAAAAGCCTTTGGCGGTTCCCTCCCCAAGCCCTCCAGCTTTACCCAGCAGAGTAAGGAATCTTTTCTTTTTGGAAATGAAGAATCTGGCCTCGTAAACTACTTCTCACGAGTGCCCTCCTGCCAGCCAAACTGGACTTGTTCTTCCTGCCTCCGTGCCTTGTCACTCTCTCCTCCCCCAGCCCCACTCAGGGGTCTCTGTGGGTGCCCCCTTCATGGACTCCTCCTCTGTTGGTTTCACCAGCTGGAGTACTGTGTGCACACACGGACCTTCCTCTTGCTCGAGCTCTGGTTGGTGTGAACTCCTTCAAAGCAGGCACCGTCGTGGTCATCTCTGTTCCCTGGAGGGTGCCCAGGAACAGACCTGTAGATGCTCACAGCCTGGTGGGAAGGGAGCAGAGAACCAGCCAGTGGAGCACAGAGGGCAGATGTAGAGGAAACATTCCAGGTGTTTGGAGACAGCTGGAAGCTATCCATGCTGATTTTCGTGGTTTTGAAGTCTCTAACTGAGTTGTTAAAATTGCCTTTTCTTTGTTCTGTGTAACGTCTGCCACGCTGTGGTTCGAACGGCGAGGTGTGAAGACTTAAGTCCGAAGCACCTGAGGAGCCATGGCAAGCAAGCCACAGTAAAGATTTGGGGAAACTTAACAAGCTAGAGGTTTCTCATGATGCCACTCATTTCTGTAGCAGAGTCATATTTTTCTATGTGTGGTATTAATATGTATGTGCTTCAGTGGTGGGAAAACTTGAAAATTCCAAAATCCTTATTACATCCCTATTTGAGAGGCTGGTTAAGTAGGGTGTGGTGCAGTGTGTGTGTGCGTGTGATGTATTTATTACATTATTTTGAGAGAGTAACCGTCTGTTATGTGGATATACATTGGGTACAGCCAAATTGAATATTTCCATTTGGCGAGGAAGGTAGGATTCATGAAACTCAGGCCTTAACCAGTAGGCTGGATGACAAGACCAATTGAAGCGTTACGAAATGTCTTTTTGTTGCTCCTGTTATCTTTGTCTTGGGTTCATTGTCTCATTCTTTAATGATTATTAAAATCATGTGCCTGAAAGTTTATTTTGCTTGATTATGAGGTAGACATGCACGTTTATATTTATGTAAAGTATTTGCTGTAAAGTGTTTTTGGTTTATTCTCTTAAAAGATCACTATATTTAAGTAAAAAATGAAGGTCAGCAATACACTTCATGTCTTGGTGGGTTTTATTTTCTTACTAGAAATCAATCTAGGAATCAGTGAAAAATGTAGGGTTCTTTTAAGAATCCTTTGTGCTTAAGCCTAATTACCTAAATTGATTCCCTTTTAATTTGGTGTTTATGATCGTTAGGATGTACACTTCAGTTTTAAAAGGTGTGAAGTTCAAAACTAAAGGGTGGCTTTTGCAAGGCACATGGCACCTGAGGCCTTTTTACTGGGTCTGGAAAGGCAGGCTTTTAGCTTTGGGTCTGGGAACCATGCAGGGGTATCCCTAGACATGTATCCTAGTCATTTAGCTCGCTAGAGTCCTTCCACCTGGAATGCCACGCTGCACAGAAGGACACGTGTACACCTCTGACCCCCAGTCAACACTCACAGTCTGGAAATGGTCCTGCCTCCTGCTTGCCCTCCGCACCTTGGATACAGCGACGCCCACACCTGTCTTGTGGTCTTGGCGCCCGGATAGCTGTAAATCCCTACGAGGGAAGTGACCATGTTCCTTTTAAATTCTCTGTGGCGTCTTTTACCTATTGGGTGCTCAGTAGATTTGGATTGAAGACAATTACGCGGTCGGAGAACTAGGCCAGGAATCCTCTGCTGCTTATCCTGTACCCGGCTCCCTTGTCTTCCGGTGGAAATGGGAGACTTGAGCCAGGACTCTCAGTGGGGAAGCGGTGGTGCATGTCCATCACCTAAGGGACTGTTGATCCTCAGGTAACTATTGCCACCACAACAGTGTGTAACAAACCATTCCAAAGCTTGAAGCTTAACACAATAAGCGTTTATTCTGCAATTTAGGCTGGACGTGGCTGGACAGTTCTGGTCTTGACTGGGCTCCTTCCTGTGCCTGGGATTTGACAGGTTTAGCTGGTCTAGGATGACCTCAGCCCTCACAGCTAGGGCAGCTCAGGTCGACTCCATGTCTGTCATCCTCAGCAGCCTGGCCTGGGCATGTTGTCACAGCAGAAGCTGAGGAGCTAGATGAGAGGAGACTACCCCGTCACAATTGCTGACATCTCATTGGCCAAAGCGAGTCACAGGGCCAAGTTCAGAATCAAGGGGCTGGTGGGCAGATACACTCCAGCAATCGATGTGAGGAGTGGCAAAGTTCTTTGGATCCCGGGAGGTGTGGGAATTGGGGCAGTTACTGCAATCCATCTGCTGCCTCCATGGACCCCATGTCTCCACCTTGGTTGAGAACCCTGGGCTGCATGATCACTAAGGCCCCTCAGGGCTCTGGCTTTTCTCCTGGCCAGAGGGATAAAAGTCCGGAAGAGGTAAGAAAGACAGCTTTGTGTTCGTGGTTCCTGCAGAGGGCGCCAAGCCCAAGCCAATGACTCCTCTAGGCGGGCACTTCACTCTGTACACTGCGTGTAGTTTGCTAACCTACCCTTTCCAACCCAAAGCACCACTCTAGTTACCTATTGCTAAACGACAAACTGCCCCGAAACTTGGTGGCTTAAAACAACCACCATTTGATCTGATGGAATCTTTTGATTGAGAATTAGGATAGAGCTTGGCTGGGCAGTCCTGCTTCTTGTGGCTTCAACTGAGGTCACTCAGTTGGCAGATGGGCAGGCGTGGCGAGTCCAAGCTGGCCTCACTCACGTGTCTGGCGCATGGTGGGTGGCTGGAAGCAGGCTCATTTGGGGCCATACATGGCCTCTGTAGCAAGGCCATCTCAGGGAGGCCATCTTACACGCTGGCTGCCTCCCCCAGGACAGGTGTTCTGAAAAGCTGCATGGCCTTTTATGACCTAGCCCAGAAGGCACAGGCATCACCACCGCAGCGTTCTATTGGTCAAAAGCTCACCTAGATTCAAGAGGAAGGGACATAGACCTCCCCCCGGCTTTAATGACGAGTATAAAAAAGCCACCCACCCGAAGTCCCCAACTGTCTCCCCTGTGCTTTTTGCCTAGTCTTCTGCAGTTGTTCTCAGATGAGACATCTCCCCAGGGCAGGCTCTTAGGTCCCTGGTCTAGCAGCATCAGCATCCCCTGGGACCTTGTTAGAAACCCAGATTTTCAGGCCCCACCCCAGACCTGCTGAGTCAGAATGACAAGCCCTTCGGGGTCATTCTGATGAACCCTAAAGCTTGAGAACCACTGCTCCAGGACACAACACCCTTGGTGAGTCTCAAGTGATGACCCATGACCACGATGACTGCCTTGAACTTCCCATCTAGGTAGGTGTTGGATGAGGGTGACTTGGGGTGGGGCACCCATGGAGTGTGGTTCTGTGTATGGGTTGGAACATCAAAGACAAAATTCATCGCTGCCTTTGAAGAAGTTACTGGGGGCAGAAGTTCACTGTGACGTGGGCCCCTTTACCTTCCTGTGAAGGGAGTGGGGCAGGGGGAAGAGAGGGCAGGGGAAATAGCTGCTTCCTTTCTTTGGTGAGGTTTCTCGGAGACTTGTCTAAAAGTCCGCCGCCTGGGGCTGAAAGGAACTCAAATGAGCCACAAGAGAGAATGCCCCTCTGATACAGGCAGTGTGAGTCCTCTTCCTCTATTTCTTGGGCAGGCAAGTTGGATGAGGTGGGATGGGGAATCCTTAACTCATCCCTCTTGTGTGGTTTGCACCCCTCCCAGAGTGGTTAAGAATGAATATGCGGGTGGGGGACCAGCCCACACCCTGGACCCTCTGTGCCCATGGTGGTAACTGGGCTGCTCTAGTGTAATAATCTCCTTGGTGCATCGCCAGGGGCCTTGAGCTGTGTGTGAGCCCATTGCTACCACACAAATGGAAGATCTGCGTTTCGTTGAAAATTTAAATTGGTTCACTCCACTACAGAGGAGGGCTGGGGCAGACAACCCAAGTAAAGCAGTCACTGGGGTGTAAGCTGGCCCACTGATTATAATGAGGTTTGGAGAATCTTAAGCAATTTGACCCATATGTGCCCTCCACACCCCTACCTATTAGGGTGATGGATGGACCCATGTGTCTGCCCCAAGACGCTCAGAAACTTTGTCCTACCATCTTCCCAGGCACTGGTTCCTATATCTCAGTTACCAAGTTCCCTTCAGAGACCTTACTTTGCTTACAAGTTTGTCACATTTGCCCCATTCCTGCTCCCCAATATATCCGGTCCAGCAGCCATCCCTTCCCCGCACAGCCTATATGCTTCTGGCAAATCCCCAGGGGGTGGGCTAAGGGCAACCTTAAAACCTTTGCCACCCTGGGTTCAGGAACCCAGCTGTGATCTGATCAGCAGGCAGCGTTCTGACAACAGGAACCGGTTCACGAATGGGCATGTGACCCAAAACATGCCAACAAGGCTCAAGGCAAGATTTGCTGGGGACTCCTGGGGGGAAAAAAACTTCTTGAGAGCCACTGGAATAGATGTTCTCTCTGCCTGTGGACGTTACAAGGTCCAGATGTTAGCCTGAAACTGTAGTAGTCAGCTTGTGACCACCCTAAGGACTGAATTAACAGGAGAGATGCAAATAGCTGAGAGGCTAAAGCAAGCCGAGAAATGGAGTGGAAGCCTTGATTGAACCTTGCCTGATCGCCACTCCACTCCTGGAACTTATGAGTTATATGAGCCAATAAATTCTACCCTGTGGTTTATATCATACTTAAGTTGGATTTTCTGCTACTTGCCAACAAAAGCATCTGGACTGACACTGCCTCCTTTGGTGACAATATCTGAAGGCCCTGTCATATTCTCAGCCATGCCACGTGACAGCTTGAGAGTAGCCAACGGAATCCATCACCCCTCCAAGGACATACCCCGTCACAGCTGGAGGGCAGAATCCACACTCACCAGCGGTTAGAGTTGGAAAATTCAACCTCTGTCTCAAGTCTCTCAGATGAGGAAACTGAGGCTGTGGGAAGTGATGAACCAAGTATGAACGAGTAAGGGGCCTCCCACCAGCAGATGATCCCAGGAGGTGTTTCTGCGGCTGCCTGGCCTGCTGACAGGTGTCCGTGCTCCTGGCAAAGCTGCTCCCTATGCCGCGGAGTTAATGTTTCAGGGGAGGCACGGGTCCACCTTCCCCGATCTTTCATCTTTTCATTTCAGAATGCTGAAGGGGGAGAATGACTATTACTATATATATTCTCAACACATGTGACCTTGAATCCTTTCATTTCCTGAGCCTTTCAGAACACTCCCTAGAAATAGCTGGAGGCGGCCCCCCTCTAATACTGCAGGGTCCAGGGACAAGAGCACAGATGGTGGCTCCCACACGAAATGTCTGAGTATTCACATTAGGATCAAACTGACAAACTGTTACGCATTAAATAGGTTCTGCTTACACTTTCATGAAGACTGGAATTTTTAGATTCATCAAAGTTTTCTGTGGCAGCACCAGGAGAGCGGTCCTCCCTGCCCCTGGCCCGTCTCACGCCAGGATGTGCGGCCTGTGTCTCCAAGCTCCATCTACCACCCCTGCAAAACAGCTTGTCCCTGGCCACCCCTCACGCTTACAGGTGTATGCGAGCCACAGTCAGGAGGACAGGCGCGGAGAGAGGGCTGTGTGGACCCGGAAGCAGGCTCAGGACCACTCGGGTGGAGAGTTAGGGTTCCCTGGGACCTGCAGCATGGGGTGTGCAAGTGTCACCGTGGCCCCGTGGGGAGGGTCATGGCCAGAGGAAGGCCAGAGTCGTGCCCTCCAAGGAGTGGGACCCAGGACTGGGCCACTCTTGGCCAGGTCCAAGGGCAGTACTGGACTTCCACTCTGTCCTATGCAAGATCATAAAGCAAGGCTGGGGGTGAGCAAGACCCGGCTTGGTGACCTTGGACCTCAGTTTCCTCCCTCGTCCCTGAGGGAGCAGGACTGCTTTCCATTCTAGAGCCCTCTGTCGAGTCTGGAAGCAGACTGGATTTCAGAGCCCTTATCCCATCCAGCAGTTCTGGGACACCAGCCCCAAACCGCCAGGGAAGAGAGAGCCACAGTAGGGAGGAACACTGCCTTTATTTCTTGATTTCCCATCCGGAGATGCCAGGATGAAGGTGGTGGCTTCACATGGGACAGATGTGGGCCATGGAACATCAGCCCGGGACTTGCAGTAGAAGCGGAGGGAGCCAGACTGACCCATGTGTCCACCCACCCCGGGGCTGATTCGCCCACGACTGGCCACCAGCACAATGCCAAGTGCCCAAGATGCAGGCCTTGTACACAGGCCCAGGAGTGTCCCTCCATCTGGTAGCAAATGGGCAAATCCCACCTGAGGTCTGCCGTGGGGGAGACGTCTTTCCCAAACAAAGCTAAGCCTCACTCAGGAAATACGGTGATGAAAGGCAGCTCACAGACACGCAGGGCTAACGATCCTGTAGAAACGGGGGCTCAGGCGCACGCACACGAGGACAAGACTATGCACCACGAAGACAGGGAGGGAGGTCACAGGGCTCACGGGAGTCAGCAGGCAGCCAGGAGCTGGCGCCCAGGACAGATGCCGTCTCTGCCTGGAGCATGTACTCAATCGTGGGGCCCAGATGGGAAACCAGGCGGCAGTTTCCTAAGGACTCAGGAAACACCAGTGGCCGGCCTGCTAGCCAATGTCCTGAAGGAGAAATGGACACGTGGGACATTCACAGGACGGAGGTCCAAGTGCGCAGAGCCAGGAGGTCAGGGTGGTACCGGGGATGGGGAGGCCTCGAGAGCAGCCCCTTCGGGAAACGTCGAAAAGAAGGCCACTGCTCTGCTTTCGTCTACACGGTAAGCACCCCAGCACCCCAGGGTTTGGCGGCGGTCTCAGTACTTATTCACAGTTGGGGCTCTGCCTGGGGAAGCTGCATCCACACGAGGCCGCGCTGGGCTGTGGTTAGCTGCGGGGTGGGGGGCTCCCTAGTTGGACCCAGATCTGGGGGCCACCCCCAAAGAACAGGCCCACTTCCCTGCTCTGTGGTTCCCAGGCCCGGGGAGCCCCGGCCAGCTGCCAGGTGAGAATGCCCACATTTCCAGAGGTCAGAGGAGACGAGAGGCCTGTGCCCCAGATGCCCCCAGCGGACGGGAGCAATCTCCAACAGTCTGTGTGCCTAACAGTGCAAAGCCAAGTCCACGATATTCGGAAGGGAGGGCCCCGCAGGCCGTCGGTCTGGCCGGAGGGTCGCGATGGGCGTGTGGAAGAGGCCCGGTACTTGGGGTTAAGACAGGATGCAGTGGTCCTAGGTTCTTCCAGTCGGACTGCGTTAAAAGCACATCTTAGCAGCAAGAGTTTGTCCTTGTTTCTGTTGCATGAAGGTGGTGGAAACCGGACCAGGACAGGGCGAGATCAGTCTGCCGAGGGTGGAGAAGCTGCTGCCAGTTCCGTGGGTGTAGCCGCCTCCTCCCGGCGGCCCTCAGGTGAAGTAGCGACAGGGCGTGGAGTCGATGTAGCAGTACGGGGTGCACCGCAGGTCTCCGTACGACCTGAGGGGGGCAGACACGGGGCAGTGGGCAGGAGCCCCAAGGACACAGCCATGTTCTCAAAGGCCTCCTCTCGCAACTCTGGTCAAACCTCATCTGAGAGCTGCCCTACTGCCACCCTCCTAAGGGCGAGGGGCTCCAAGGTGAGGGGCTTGGGGCAGCTGAGTCCAGGCCTCTGGGGCTTCTCCCCTTGAGTCCATCTGAGGGATCTGGGGGAAAGGGGTTTGTAGGTAGCCTGGCTCTGAACGCAGCCTCTCAGGGAGAATCGGCCCTTTCTCCAGCGCTGTCCAGTAGACCACACTGCACTATTTCTGTGGCAGCCACTGGCCATATGTGGCTGTTGAACTCTTGAAATAAGGTTAGTGTGAACGAAGAATCGGATATTTAACTTTATTTAAATAGCTACGTGTGGCCGGGGGCTACCACGTTGGAGAGCACAGCCTACACGTCTGTAAGCCCAAGCGCTAATTCCGAGGCTGTGTTGTATTGATACACCAAGCCCACATTCACAAGCATCCCCTGAGGCTTCTCGGGACTAAAGAGTAACCACAGCGAGCGGCGGGGTAAGCCCTGGGCTCCACGTGTCCCTGTACCCCAGGTCCGACTGTCTACACTCAGCGGTGTCCTTCCATCAACTCTTTGGCAGGGGCCTGGCAGGAGCCTCCCTACTTCAGGGAGGGGCAGTGCACACACACACAGATGCAGTGGAGTTCTGGCCCAGCCTACAGTGCTTGGAGTTTGGGGTCTGAGCTCCCTCAGCCCGGTTTGATTTGTTGCCCTGCGTTTGGGGGTGGGCATTGAGGCGACCTCCTTGGAGGAAAGAGACAGGCCTTGGGTCCTGGGTCCCAGCCTACAGAGGAGTGGGGCTGGAGGGAACGCCTGGACAGATGGACTCCTGAGGAGCCAGGGATCCACTCTGGGGCCAAGGGAGAAGCAGGATGTGGACTGGAAGAGGAGCGGCCTCCCTACCTTCCCTACAAGCTACGCAACTCTGGTCCTGTGAGCACTGGGGTAACAGAGCCCAGGAGAGCCCATTCTGGGCGTGGGATCATGCCTCACAGGGCAGAGGCCCTCAGCGGGCCTGGGAGACGTCCTCGTGGAGACCAGGACACTCAGGATACTGAGCCACGTGAACACCCACTGAGGGGTCTCAGAAACAGCTGCAGGGGGTGCTTGAAGGGAAGACTACATTCCTGGGGTTTTCTGGGAGGACTTTGGAGCCACCAAAGTTAGATACTAAGGCTGGTGGGATCTCATGTGTACCCACAGGCCTGCCCGGTTCCAGAGAATTCAGGTTACAGATGCTTAGATTCTCTGAAATGCCCGGACCCCTCCCCGCTCCACCGGCCCCCTTCCCAGGCAGGCCCACTCCCAGGAGACCAGTGTGGTCACGGGAGCGACGGAGCTGCTCATCCAGGGGCCGCGGTGAGCTGCGGGCCCAGGCGGAGCTGGGGGTGGGTGACTGCTCTGAGTGGCATGTGGGTTTCTGTGTTTAGCACTGTCCCCCCGCGAGAGCAGGGACCATGCATGTGTTCTATGTCACCATACCTCAGAGTCCAGAAAGCCCCAGGAACACAGGCATTCAGGAATATTTGTGAAGGAAAGAGGAGTAGGCAGGAGGGAGGGAGGCCGGGGTGTGGTCACAGCCCGCGAGGTGGTCCCTACCCGGGGAGATAGGTCTCGCAGGTCAGGTGGCCGAAGTCAGAGCCGTCACAGTCCTCCACGCCCCTGTGCCGGTGACCATCTCCACAGTAGGCCCGGCGACAGCCTGAGGGGACACGGGAGGTGAAGCCCTGAGAGGGGGGCGGGGTGGGGGACAGCCTGGCAGGACCATGTGGCCTGAAGGAGCCCCCCCGCATCCCACAGAGCCTGAACCCTCCTGCAGGGATGTCCACAAAGCTTCAGACCCCAATCCCACGGGAGGACACTGTTTCTGTCGCAGGACCACCGCGGGTTCCTGTGAGGTGAGGGTAGGGAGACGGGCACGTCACAGCCTTGGTGGCGCTTGTCTGTCTGCAGGGAGCTTCCTGTGTCCCTCGGGAGCCAGACCGTCTTCCACGGGGTCTCTGTTCTCACACCAGGGGAGGGGCCAGGAGTATGAACCCACCCTCATTTTTATAGGGCTTTGAGACTAGCTATTAGTTCCTTCCTGCTGTGTCATCTCCACGAGGGGCAGGGGGACTCCAGGCAGAGCCAGCATCCTAGGAATCACCGCCCAGGAACTGTCGCGGGAAGTGCAGCTACACGGAGAGAACCAGACACTGCATCCTGCGCCTGCCCCTGCGCACTCTCATCCTCCTCTGAGCTCCTTGCTGGCGAGGAACCCACCTTTGCACCTACACGTCCCCAGCCCTGGCTTCTCATAGCAGGACTTTAAAAATAATGCAGTGAAGGGATGTCGAGCCCTCACGGCACCCAGACAATCCATGCGCACGTCAGCTCACAGAATCTCACAGAATCTAAAGGCTTGAGCGTTCGGTGCGGTCGTACCCATTTTTCAGTTGGGGAAAGTGAGGCCCTCCATCACCCCACTCACCGTGTAGCCTCCTCTCTGAGCCTGAGGGTGACTCAGTGGCTTCCAGAGCCTGCGTCCAAACTCAATCTGAATCTAAAGCTCATGCTTTCCACCTCACCTCCTGCTTTTGTCACTTGATTTTTTTAAAAAAAAGAAGAAGAAAGAAAAGCGATGCTTCAGCCCTATGCTGCCTGCCTGTCCCGGTAGCATCCATAAGCCTGAAGGTAGCCCAGCCACCCAATCCCCCAAACAGAGCTCTGCTATGAGGACTCTGTCTGCTAAAAGTGAGTCCTGATTCAGATTCTTGCCTTATCCCGTCTGCCTCTCAGCCCTGCATCACCTTTATCTTTTGATAAGAATTTGGATTAGAACGTGGTTTTTGCCAAGAAGTAGGATTCAAAAGAAAGGGAGGGCCCGGTGGCTTCTCTGGGGCCAAGATCCTTGACAGCAACCCCATCGCCTTGCTTGGACGGTGGGAGGGCTCACGTTTGGCCTGAGTAGCAGCCCAGCTCTGGCTCTAGAACTGTCCCAAACCAGCACAGCTGGTGTCCAGGGCTTGGCCTGACCCCACCTGGCGGCGGTTCAAGCTGGGGCCACTCACGGATGCAGTCGTCACCCACATCGCCGTTCCCGTCATCACACTCCTCCCCCGGCTGCAGGACCCCGTCCCCGCAGGAGCCGCGGTGGTCTACGGGGTAGTCCACAGGGTAGAAAGGCGTCAGCTGGCCAGAGAAACACAGCACGCACGGTTACCGGTACAGTGGGACAGGTAGCCGGGCACCGGGGACAGAGGGTCTGGGCGGGGGCAGGGCAGTGGGGGAAGGGCACGCCTCCCCTGTAGCCAGAGCTCTGTGGTTGGCAGGAAAGCTGTGCGAGGCTGGGAGCCTGTCTGGAGCCTTGGCCCAGAGCAGAGCTCCACGTGGGGAGCCAGGGCATGGCAAGCTCTCAGAGGCGGGCTGAGAGAGGGCGCTCAGACTTCCACGGAAAGCTCTGTGCCAGGCCTCTCCTTCCTTTGGAGATGCGTCCCTCTGCTGATGGGGTGTGTGCTGAGCGCCCCGTACCTGGATGGGGAGCCAGCCAAGGCTGTCCTTGAAGTACAGAGACCTCTGGTCTCTGCGGAAGGCAATGGCATGTTGGGTGTTCAATCTCTCAAGCTCCTCCTGGTTGTTGACCACAAATATCTGCCAGAGGAAACATTGGTGAGGATTCCAGGAAACACTTCTACGGAGGGGAGGGCGGGGGAAGAGCCAGAGGAGGAAACAATCCCTGACCTTGGGCTGGTGATCAGTGGGAAGGGCGGTTTGCTTTTACACTCCTGCATCCCTCCTGAAGTGGGGACCCATGTCTTGATTCCCACATCTTCCCAATCCAGTTCCTAATGTCTGAGTTTGAAATAAAAATATCTACCATGGTTTAAAATTTATAACATTTAAAATGTTACAAAAACTTGGGGACTTCTCCTGGTGGTCCAGTGGTTAAGAATCCGCCTTCCAAGGCAGGGGACGCACATTCAATCCCTGTTTGGGGAACTAGAATCCCACATGCCGTGGGGCAACTAAGCCTGCGCGCCGCAACAAAGATCCCGCGTGCCGCAACTAAGACCCAACACGGCCAAATAAATAAATATTTTTTTAAAAATGTTACAAAGACATAAATAAAAAGGTGATGTCATCTAATCAAATAATTCAACACCTGGAAATGATTCTTAACAAAAATCCTATACTCAAAGTGTTCATTACAGTGTTATTTCTATCAGGGAAAAGCTTGGGAGCACCTGATACCTATCTGACAATCGGGCTCTGGTTAAGTAAATCACAGCACAGCCACATGATGGACAGAGTACTACCTACCCACTCAAATTATGAATTGATGTCCGGGTTTACTTTAAAATAATCTAAGGTAGGTAGGTTGTCGTGAGTAAGTGTAAAAAGGAAACAAGATTAGCCGGGAGTTGATAATTGTTGAACTTGGGTAAAGAGTACAAAGAGGTTCCTTACGCTATTTGTTCTGCTTTTGTATTTATTTGAAGTTTTCTATACTTTTTTTTTTTCTTAGAAAAGACAAAGAAGGGAATTCCCTGGCTGTCCAGTGGTTAGGACTCCGCGCTCTCACTGCCAAGGCCTGGGTTCAATCCCTGGTCGGGGAACTAAGATCCTGCAAGACGTACGGCACAGCCACAAAAAAAAAAAAAAAGACAAAGAAAATACTCCAAAATAGACCCACAACCTTGGTTTTCTTCTTTTGATTTTCCCTTATTTTCCAAGTTCCTGTAACGAGCTTATGCCCAGTATAACGGAGGAAGTTTTACTAAAAGGCTTTTACAAAGCCCGGGGAGCATCAATCACGTGAAGAGTCCTGAGGGGTGACCACCCCAGATTCCGCCCAGAAGAGCCTTACCACAGGAACTCGTGGGGAACTGGGCCCATACGCAGACTCCCCGTAGGAAGGGTTATTCACATTCATGGGAGGGCCACAGAGACATCTTCCTGGAGGCCCGGGAAATCCTCTTTCCCCTTTGGGTCCCATTACAAGGTGTCCTAGGAAGCAACAGACTGCTGTTACTAGCAAAGGAAGAGAAAATCAAACAGCCCAGGGAGGTGTCAGCAACCTTCACGACAGAAAGAAGTTTGAAGTCCACAGTGTGGACTTCAGGGAGGCCTGGAGGAGAGGTCCAGAGAGACATTTCTGGTCCAAGGTGTGGGTCCCTTAACCACACTGGGTGTGACAACACCTTTCCCAACCCTCTTCCTCCCTTCCCTCTCTCTATACTTTGGAGACCAGACAGATGGGCATTCTACTTCCCAGTTGCCCTCACTCCTGGAGGTGACCGTGTGCCACAGTGTCAGCCAATGTAAGATCCATGGTGGGAGAAGGGTGAGTGTCTGGGGAAGTCTATCCTGATAAGGGAGAAGCATAGCTGGAGGGAGACACAGCTTCCTCCTTCTTCCTGTCTGGAAGACAAGACAAGATGTCTGGTGCTGCAGCAGCTGTGCTGCAACAATGAAGTAACAAGTGTGAGAAGAGAAGCCAGATCGCAGGGAAGACCAGGGCCTCATGGGGCCTGGGGCCCTGAGAGCGAGACCTAGAGGCTGAACTAAAGCCAGCCACTGTCCACCTCTGGACCTCTTTGTTGTAGGAGGGAAACAATCCCTATTTATGTTTAGACCATTATTAATGGGGACTTCTTCCTGATGAGTGCATTGCTGGCTGATAACTTTCACCATTTTTTTACTCATTTTATTTTGTTCTTATATATAGGAGTTTAACAAAGGGATTTCTGAATGTGGGTTTCTTTGATTTCTTCTGGAAGTAATGGAATGTTTGAAAATGCTCAGCCTATTTGTTCTTACCTGATTCTGAAAGAAGTGTCCGGAAAAGATATGATCAGGAAATTCACTCCCTGAAAGGTAGGAGGCCTACTAGGGTAGTAGTTCTCACCTTGACTTGTAAAGCCCCTGATGCCCAGGCCACACTCCAGACCAATTCCATCAGGACTGCTGAGAACGGAGCACAGGCATCCGTGCTTTTCAAAGCTCTCACAAGTGAGCACCGAGGTTGAGAGCCGTTGGTCTCGGGAAATGGTCTTTGCACAAAACCCCCCACCAGACTATCCTCTTCACCCACCATCCCTCCCTTCCCAGGCACCTCCTGGCTCACTCCTGATCTGGGTTCCTACATCACTTCCTCAGGGAAGCCTTTCTGAATCCTCACACTCTGTCCTGTTCACACTGAGTACAGTTTCTTAGTTCCCCAGGCCTTTTCTTCCTGGCACTTAACTCTGTGATTCTATTCACTGTGAGATTATCCAGGCCAGCTGGATCTCCCCCAGGAGACTGTCAGCTCCACAAAGGCAGGTGGATGCCTGTTTGCACTCATCAGGGCGTGGCACAAAGTAGGGGCACAGTACATGTTTGATAACTGAATGAATGAATGCAGACTAACTGGAAAGGGAAGGTCTTCAGAAAAGACTAGAGGTCCCATTCCAGCTGGCAGAAAAGTGCTAGAGCCAGAGCCACCAACAGGGAGAGAAGAAAGAGAGGAAAAGATGGGCACTGAAAACATAAATAAGTACCCCTCCTGCTGGGAAAATAAGGGGGAGCTTGGAGATCAGCCAGTCATTGGTTTCAGGTTGTATTACTGTATCAAGGGCAGTCAGCAATTGGGGACATGGTTTGCAGATCCCACAAGGGTGGGGAGAAAAATGACCCTGGGGGGAGAGGTCTGGTCAGAACCCCGAGGAAGCAGCTGCAACTGGAGGAGGAGACCCCAGCAGGAATGCCCACACCCTGAGCCTTCCTGAGCCGGTGGACAGATGTGTCCAAGATGGGGATGCTGCCAGCCGGCCGGGAAGGGAGGCTTGCCAGCATCTTACACCAAGTTATGGTCGCTCGTTCTAACAAGAAATACAATCTGGGAGGAACGCCAGTCTCATGCTTGGAGGGACAGAGACCCCACCAGCTCAGGAATGTTCTGGGGAGTTAACCAAGGATGGGAGAGCATGGGAGCCGCCTTCCAGCAGGCTCTGTGACCGCCAACTTCTCCTCCAGAACCACAGCCTCAGAGAGGCTCAGGAGTTTGTCCCATTATCCAGCTAATTAGTGGTGAGGCTGAGATTTGAGTTCATGTTTGACTTAACACTATGCCATTCAAAAGACACGTGTCCAAGAATACTGATGCTCGCAGGAAGCTGGCAATTCCCAGGTACCACAATGATTCACTTATGCCCTGTCTGGGGTCAGGAAGGACTCAGCCAAATTTGTAATTTGGTTATTGCAAATTACATCCTAAAGGCATTTTGCCGTGGTTCCCTCCCCCGTCTCCATCCCCTCTTTCTTGGTTAACTTGGGTAATGAGAAGCTCCTGCCCCCTCCATCTCCCCAGAACCGTCCCGCCCCCCAGCACCAGGCACCAGAAGCAGAGGTGGCCTCCAGATAGGACGACAGGATGTGGCAGGGAGCCTGCTTCCTGCCCCCCTCCCCCCCGCCATCATTTCCCTGCCGCTTCCTCCCAGCTGTCCAAGGGCATCCATTACCCCTGCCTGCTTCCTGCCAGGCTGCACTGAGGGGCACAGCAACCCAAACTTCCCCAACTCAGCCCCTCGGAGCTTGTCCGGCGGGCAGCCTCTCCCCCATCCCCGGCAGCTGGAGGACCCAGCTCTGCATCTTTGCTCAGGGAGCCTCCCATCTCCACTGGCCGCTGCAGTGGGAGCAGGTCTGAGGGGTAACCTGGGAGAAGGCAGAGGAACCATGGAGTCGTCTCCATGTCACCCCCATCCCACTCTACCCCTGCAGAAGCTGCATGGCTACGTGGGAGGGTCTCGGGACCAGGAGTCACAGGCCAATTCTGGACCAGGAGTGGCCACCAGTCGGCTCTGTGACCTTGGGGAATCTCTGTGATCTCTGAGGCTCAAAGTTCTCATCTATAAAGAGAAGGATGGACCAGACCAGGCAGTTTAACCCGGGGTCCACAGAGCCTGAGGATATCCCAAGGTGGATCGGGGGCAGGGGGTCTGGAGCTCTGGGAAGCAGTGAGCAGTATCTTGGGTATAGGTAGACACATTTTTTTCCTGAGAGTGGAACTTTATCAGGCTCTCAAAGGTAGTCTCAAAAATCGCTATGGAGGCCTGTTCCAACTCCTGAGGATGACCCAGCTGGTCCTGGGCACAGGAAGGTCTCTTTTAAATTCCTCCCCCCCCTTCTCTACCCATCCCCCCAAAAACATTTCTGAAGAGCAGAATTCTTGCACCATTTTCTTCAGCAGCCTCACTCTGGGAGGTTCCCCAGAGGGGAAATGACCCAAAGGAAGGCACAGGGAGGGGACATCAGTCAAAGAGCTGGCCCGCATCCTGCTTGGCTGCCATGCAATAATCCAGGTGGGACAGCCCGAGAGTCAAAGTAGACCAGGTGTGTGAGCACCTGCAGGGGCCAGCCCCACGCACCCCACCTGCCTGGTGCCATGCGGATGCAAAGCTGACTTGGCCAAGACCCTACCTCAAGGACCTGCCATCTAGAAGGAAGAGGAAACACATCCTCAGAAAACAGTTAACAGTGGAGGGGCCGTAGCAGATGCAACGTGGGACTGGGGCCCAAGGGAAGGAGACTCATCCCGTTAGGGACCAAGAAGGCCTTATTGAAGAGAGTGCTTTGAAGGAAGGAGAGGAGTTGGTGGAGTGGACCAGAGCAGCGGTCCCCAACGTTTTTGGCACCAGGGACCGGTTTCCTGGAAGACAATTTTTCCACGGACCCGGCGGGTAGGGGTAGGGGGATGCTCCAGGCGGTAATGCGAGCGATGGCGAGTGGCAGATGAAGCTTCACTCGCTCGCCACTCACCTCCCGCTCTGCGGCCTGGCTCCTAACAGGCCTGGGGGTTGGGGACCCCTGGACCAGAGGATGACGGGAACACTATTTCAGGCCACGTGGACCCAGAGGGACTGTAGGAATATGCTCCAGCTCAACAGACAGCAGAGTCCGCTGGAGGGCAGAGGGCACTGAGGCTGGGATCTGGCAGAGGATGGGGTGGTAGAGAGGGAAGGGGGTGGGCATACCAGGCTGAAAGACAAGGTGCCGGGAGGACCAAGGAGAGAAAATAGGATTACGTTGGCCCTGCTACAGGGATGGGGTTGGCAAGACAAAACAGCGGGCATCTGAGGGGGCTGCTGAGGGTCTCCAGGCCCTGCCCTTCTCACCCCACCCCAGGCCCTAGGAGGGAGACAGGATTCAAGTCAGATACACACAGTGGGACCAGTAAGGCCTTAGTTTGCTGAGCACGCCCCCCCAACCGCACGCCTCCTGGCTATTCCTCAGTTTTGTGAGCTCCTAAATACCCCAAGGGTCAAGAGCATCCCTTCCAAAGGCAAAACCCGGGCTTCAGGCCATGCTCCCAGCCTCTGGGGTCGGCAGCTCAGGGTCATGGGCTCAAGTGGAACGTTATGCGTCCGAACCGAGGAGGGAAAGGACTGGCTGGAAGAACCTTCATCCAGATCATCGATTCAATGCAGGGAAACAGGGTCTGGGCATGGACACAGGGCCTGAGGTGCATCTCAATCCAGCTCCCCTAACAGTTAGAAATAAGGGTGGCAGGATAACTCGTCACAGTAATTGATGTTTGTTCTTCCATTATTTTTTCGTTCCTGACTTCAAGGAGGTGGCAAGACTTTGTGTTTTCTTGCTCTTGCTGAGAAGCAGGTACTGTTTGAAGACTTCTGCCTTCTGTTCTCAAAAGAGAAAAGCTCCTAAGGGGGTGGCGCTGTATGAGGAGTGTGAGGAGGGAGGGGCTGGAGGACAGAAAAGGAAGGATCACCCCAGATGTGGGAGCACGGGGACCCCCAAATCCTGGAGGAGAGCCAAGGTCTCAGGAGGGACGGCTGTGGGGCCTTCCTGGGAAGATTGAGCCTTGGGGAGCAGGATTCTCAGGCTTGGAGATGATCTGATAGCCAAGCCTGGCGTGAGGAAGGTGGTCACGTGTCTGACCGTGTGGCCTTGGGCAACAGGCATTTCAGAGGTGAATGGGGCAGATCAAGGGCTGGTCACCTCCCGTGATGTTTATCTGCCATAACTCCCCAGGATCTTTGTCCCACGGTTCTGTGGCAGTTGAAGAAGTGGAGAAAACCCCATTAATGCCTGAGACTGAATTTCCCAGGCATCCTAGCAGGTTAGAGTCTCAGAGCCAGTTTTCATTTGGTTTAAAGGATTAACAAAATGACATTTCTTGACCTTCCCATGATGTGGTTGTAAACACTTCCCCACAGTGGGGAAAAGTGCACTTTGGGATTTTTAAATGCCTTCATTTTCTTAAGAAAAGAATTAGAATAAAAATTTTGATTCCTTTTGTATAACTGAGGACAAAGAATCTTGCACAGTCAGTAAACAGTATTCTTGGACGTAGAGCTGCTGTGCTTATATAGATGATGTGCTATGAAGGCCTTCCTCTGAGCTGACAAACTAAATAAGAGGCTTAGCTCCTCAAATTAAGCAAGGTAAAACAAGGTAGCAGTGTACCTGTACCCTCTTCAATGGTAGACTTTTATTCCTTTATAGTGATTTCTTTCTATATTCGATGCACATCTGTAAGGACTCTTTTATAACACTGTGTAAGACAGAAAAATTTGCAATGTCATCTTTACTTCTAGGTTTAAGAGCATTGCTTGGAGCCATGAAACGTTCTTCTAGAAAAGGGTGTTAGTTGATGCAATACTTGCCTGTTATTTTTCACTTAAAGTGTAAATGACATCACCAATGTGATTTTTTTTTTCTTTTTCACTCCTCTATTTGTTCTCCCAAATCCCAAAACAAAGCCAGAATAGTGTTTATCTCTCTCGTGTAAAATTTGAATGGGTCTAATTGTGGATAAATTAGAAATATATTGAAATGCTTCAGGCATTTTCCAACTCAGAACACCAGGCAGGCCTCTGCTGACATCTCCCTGTGCTCTCTGGGAGGCTGGCCAGGAGGGCAACAGCGTGGATCAGGTGAAGCAGTGTAGCTCTTACCTGCAGACGGGGGACCCGGGGGTCCTGGGGCGCCCGGACGGCCAGGTTGACCAGAAGGCCCAGGTTTGCCTGGTGGGCCCATAATTCCACTATCTCCCTTCTGCCCCTGACAGAGAGAAAGGTAGAGCCCATTATAAGAGCAGGACATGGCAAACCTCCCCCCCAATTCATCTCTAAATTAGGGGCCACCTTGCACTTTGGAGCAAGTACCAGGGGGAGGATGCAGTCCCAGAGGTCCCAGAGGGACCAGCAAGCTCCTAAAAACCTCAGGGCAAGTGACATTTGAGACAGTGATGGATGCATGTTTATAGACATTACTTTTTAAAAAAAAATTGAAGTATAGTTGATTTACAATATTGTGTTAGTTTCAGGTGTACATCGTAGTGATTTGGTGGGGTTTTCTTGGAGATTATATTCCATTATAGGTCATTACAAAATATTGAGTATAGCTCCCTGTGCTACACGGTAAATCCTCGCTGCTTATCTATTTTATGTATAGTAGTGTGTATCTGTTAATCCCATACCCCTAATATGCCCCTCCCCCACCCCTCTCCCCTCGGGTAACAGTAAATTTGTTTTCTACAGACATCACTTCTTGCTCTGTCCTAGACACATAGGAACCAATCCAAACCACACTCCTCACTGGGCAGGTGAGGAAAGAAAGGCTCAGGAAAGAGCAGGGATTTAGGCCAGTCACCTGGCATCAGGCCTCTGCCTGCTCATCAGGACAATTTCTGTCTCAGCACAAGAGCTGTTCCCACCCCGTGGCCTCTTGCTGCTCTCAGGATAAAGACCCAGCTCCTTACTGGAGCCTCCATAGCCCTGCACGGCCAGGCTTTCCACGCGTGTCCCAGGCTTTTGGTGTTCTTGGTCTTCAACAGCACCATGCCTTTTCTTTCCCTTCTCCAGACTCTTCTCTCGGCCCCAAACCCCTCTTCCCACCCTTCTGCCTAGCTAACTCCCTCCCATCTTTCAGCTCCCAGCTAAAATACAGTTGCGGCAAAGCCTTCCTTGACCTTGCCTGACCAAGTCAGTTCTCCCTGTCATGGGCCCTTTTCCTTCACGGCCTTTATCCCTGATCATAACTACCATTGTTCGTGTGGTCATTTCCTCTGTGTCTCTCCAGGAGACAGAAGCTCCCTGCGGGCCAGAATCTGTTTTGTTCACCTCCTTTCCCCAGACCAAATGGGGAAGGAGGAGAAGCTGAACACACAAAGCGAATGTAGTTTGTTGGCTCTAGGTCGAGAGATCTAGGTTTTCATCTTGGCCATGAGACCCTGGGTAACTCACGTTGTTGCTCTGTGCCTCAGTTTTCTCATCTGTGAAATGGGGCCAGGCAATATACACCTGCACAGGCTTGCTGTGAGGCTAACAGAGATCTCAAAGGTGAAAAAGTGGTTGCACTTGGCTTTGTGGGCCAAGCTGATTATCATAGCAACTGGCTCGGTTTCATCTTTTTCCCACAGTTAGAAAAGTCCTGATTCTTAACGAAAGGCACACCTGCAGGTATAGTCTTTCCACACAGCATGTCCTCTTTGCTGTCTGCCCTGGGAGGGTTAAGAGCACACATCTCCCCCCAGAGCTGCCCTTAGGAATGACCCCAGAAACCAAGGATGGCACACCTGTAGATCCTTCCCCTAAGCCATTTGCTAACTGTCCACTCGTGCCCGGGGCCCGACCAGGACAGTGACTGGTGCCTGATGGCTTTGGCCTGGTCCCCTTCATACCCTTGTGCTGTGGCTACCTCGCCCACCTAATGAAACATAACCTTCGCCAAGCCTGGGGAACAGGCAGGCCGGGCACGCCTTTCACCACCATGTGATGTGTGACCTGCCGCCTTGTCAACATGGCCCTGGGGGCGCTCTTGGCAATGTCCAAGGAGTTCTTAAACGCTTAATGCGGGATCGTGAGGTCAGAGTTTGTCTCCAGTTCCACCCTCATGGAGGGAGTCTTAAGCCTTGCCTTAGCATTCCGTGGGGCAACCAAGATGGGTCCCAGATGGCAAAGGAAGTCACACCGTCTTAATATAGCCACAGCGAAGTCTTGTTCTTCTAAGAGCCACATCAGCTGGCTCTGAGCACAGGAAGTGCCACAGCTTGAAGGAGCTGGGAACGCTCCTTGTTCTGACCTCAGCGGTAATCAGATATTCTGCTGCTCAGTCATCTATTCAGAACAGCCTCGTCCCTGTGAGCGAGACTCACTGAGTAGTGCTTTCCAGGAAAAGCATTCTTTTTTTTTTTTTTTGCGGTACGCGAGCCTCTCACTGTTGTGGCCTCTCCCGTTGCGGAGCGCAGGCTCCGGACGCGCAGGCTCAGCGGCCATGGCTCACGGGCCCAGCCGCTCTGCGGCATGTGGGATCTTCCCGGACCGGGGCACGAACCCGTGTCCCCTGCATCGGCAGGTGGACTCTCAATCACTGCGCCACCAGGGAAGCCCAAAAAGCATTCTTTATTCCTTTACTGCCACCAAGTCTGGTGATTCCCGTCAAGGAAGTTGTGTCTCCGTGACTGAAGATTTGTGTGATAAAGTCAAGAGCTGCTGTCCTGGGTCTGCCCGGAGGCCAGGCCTAAAGCAGGAGGGTGATGTGAAGATTGCTGTGGAGAAGCTGGTCTCAGATCTCCAGGTTCTAACCCTGCTTGGAAGCTGGCTTGGCTGGGGGTCCTGGGTGGTCAGGCCACTTCCCTGGCCCCCGGTTTTCTGGTGACTACATGCAGGGAATTGGGTCGGTGGTCTCTAAAGTCCTTCTGGATCTGCAGTTCTTACTCCTGGATCCCCTTCCAGATTTCTGATTCCAGGATTTGGGTTGACTTTCCATAACCTCCAGAGACTCTTAGCACCATGGCTCAACAAACACTCTGTATGTAAGACTCTACTAGGCAATTAATTCATGACAAAAAAAAGAAGTATCATGGCCCGCTCCCAAGGCTGACGAGTCCAGTCTAGGCTGGAGCACACTCGGGTGTCTGTAATGTCTCTGGAGGAAGATGAGCTCATTTCCCTAACTTCTCTGAGCTCCCAGATGTGTTTCTGGTGTCGTTTTTAAGATTGCTCCAACGAAATCATTCTCAACAGGGTCAAGAAAGAGCCTTCTTGGCTTCGGCCCTAACCAGGACAAGACAAACACTGCCCAAGGAAAGAACTAGATGACAGAAGCCAACCGGCTTCTCAAACCCCAAGCATAACACATTCTGGATGGAATGCAGCAGTAGTGGAGAAAACGATTTTTTTGAAAAGATTTTTCCTTTTTTCTTCTTTTTCTGAGCCTAGTTTTTAGGAAATTAGTATCTGTGGCATCATTGTGAAGCCACCCATGGCCATGCCACCAACTGTAAATCTTTAAAAATTAAACTGCAACATTGTGACTTCAAAAGTCATCATGGGGGCTTCCCTGGTGGCACAGTGGTTGAGAGTCCGCCTGCCGATGCAGGGGACACGGGTTCGTGTCCCGGTCCAGGAAGATTCCACATGCCGCGGAGCGGCTGGGCCCGTGAGCCATGGCCGCTGGGCCTGCACGTCCAGAGCCTGTGCTCCACAACGGGAGAGGCCACAACAGTGGGAGGCCCGCGTACCAAAAAAAAAAAAAAAAAAAGTCATCATGGAAGCTGATTCATCAGGTTGGAGTCTATGTCTTTCCTAAGTTCATTTCGAAAAGACCAGAATTGGCTTTGTAGTGTTACCGTGGTTCTGAATCCCGGTGCACATTAGACTCATGTGGGGCTTTAGAAACAGCAACAACCCATGCTGCAGCCCCAGTTGTATCAGAGTCTTTGGGAAGTAAGGTCTCGACATTGGGGAAGAGGAGAGGCACACTTGGGACCACCACCAGTGCACCAGGGACAGGGAATCTGTATTTAATCGGCCCCCACGATGATTCTGATGGAAGCCAGAGTCTGAAAGCCACAGATCTAGCCTAAGGAAAGAATGGAAATGTGCCCAAACACGTTCACTTCTCAACATTATTTATAATTTGGTTAGGCTTCTCTTGTCCAAGCTATCTACTATGGTTACTTATTTACCAAAATCGATGCAGAGATTTAAAAAAATGTTTAAGAGTAAGAGTGCTTAATGAATGCAGTAACAAGTTAAAATGTGTGTGTTGTGATTTTTAAGTTAAAAGTTTAGGATACAATAAGTATATATCGGATATAAAAGGAACAAACGACTAGGAAGTCCACGGAAGCAATAATACTGGAAGGAAGTGTACATACATGGTAACATGGTTGTACCTGGGTGTTAGGTCTTTAGATGATTTCCTTCCTAGTTTTCTGAATTTTCTGTTTTCTGTGATGATCATATATTACATGTATAATGGGAAAGGAGGTAAAAAGCCAACAGACTGGCAAACAAAAGAGTAGGGGTCACACATGTCTCATTCGAGCAAAAGGGAGAGGTTCTCTGAGGCCCTGGGGACAGCTCACATCACATGGTTTGACACAAGAGCCTGCTGACCAGGGGAATTCAGAATGAAAACTTTCCCTAAACCCTGAATAGTGCCAATAAAGGGGTCATTTACAAATGGGGATCTTGAGTGAGGAGAAAGCACCCTATTGTTGAGACCCAGCAGATCCTTGAACAGCAGGGAAAAATCTGGGCTGATTCCAGAACTCCATCTGCGTCTGGGGCACTGAGGCAAAAAGCAGGTTTTCTGGGCGAACGAGCAGACCTGATTTCCACTCCCAGTTGCCTTGGATAAGACAGACCTGTTCTTATGAACCGAAGACCCACTCCTGCCTCTAGCCTTGACACAGCTGGACGGGCATCCTACCCCATCCGCCTCGCACTCCCGCCTCGGTGGAGAGCCCAGGCGCCCCGGAAGGGGTGCTGCTACTGCCCCCCAGCCCAGAGGATGCTGGAGACTGTGTCCCCGCAACGTCCCTGACCTGTCCGCCCCGCCCTGCCCACCTCTCTACACCCGCACCCCAGCTCAGGAGGTCCGGTGAGCCCTGGGATCCATACCTGCTTGCCTCGTTTTCCTGGTCTTCCTGTGGGCCCCCGGTGGCCTGCTATCCCGGGCTCGCCCTTTGGTCCCATTTCACCCTGGAAAGAAGAAAGAGAAGCAAGAGAGGAACGAGGAAACAAGGAGCAATCTCAGCTCCAGGTCGATCCAATCTCTGGCCGTGGGGCCTCTCCTTGCTCACTCCCAGTCTTGTCCAGGCGGGCTGCTCTGGGAGGTTGGGAGAGCGATGAGGTCGTGTGAAGGGAGAGAAGTTTTTCAAGGAAGAGGACGGGAAGGAGAATGTTACCGTGGGTGGGGAGGTCACTATCGGAGAGAGACAGCTGCCGGGCGGCACACATTTTGGTTCCTAAATCCCCATCCAGAGAGGCTAGGGTGGGAGGTGCCTGCATTTCAGTCCCCTGTGCCTGGGACACCGATGGGGGAAATGCCTTCTCTCTTAGTTGAAATTTTATGCTGTGCTTTGCTTTGTTTTTAGCACAAATTCAGATCTATGGGTTTTTGAATGATTGGACACAGTTTTGACGACTATCATCTTTGGGATGTTTCTGCTCACGTTATATAATTCCCCACTCTTCAGTAAAAAGCTGGTTTGAGTTCCACCTCACTCCCATTTGATTCAGATAAAAACTCTTAGTGGGAGAGATGTTCCAGACACATGTTCACATACTCAATCTAGTTATTGTAAAAGGCACAGAAAGCAGCGTAAGCAACAGTCCTAATTGAAAAGCTCTATTTGGAACCATCGGAACCACATGTATCAACTGCAGAGTTCCAGAGTTTAAGGCCAGCCTTTTGTAAAACCCGTCTCTCCATTTTGGTTCATCCCCTCCTTCCCCGTGCTCTTCCAGGATTCCAGGCCCACTGGTGGCTTCTTCGGCTCATGAACCCACCCCACAGGGCATCCTTCCTACCCCCAGTAACCCCTCCATAGCCCAGAAGGCACCACACCAGCTAAGCTTAGCAACAGCAGCCATGAGAGTTTCTGTTAGGCCACAGCTGGTGCCCGTGAAGAGCTGACCCGGCCACTCAGACAAGGATAAACGCCCGGACGACTTCGCCCAGGAAGGCCGGAGGAGGTACAACACAATGGAAAATTCCAGGGAACACCAATACACAGTAAGGACCAAGCATAAAGCTCTGAAATTACCTGTTGGCTCAGCCAGTGTAATGAATTTGTCAAGCTACCAACATTTTGCCTCACCGAGAATTGTCCCTAAACCTACGATTTCTTTCCTGTCCGTCACGTCCTTCGGCCTGCTAGGATAGGGTGGATTCTCTGTGGCCATGGAGATGTTTGCATAATTTTCCTTGGCTGTTTAGAGGGGGCTGAGAGGTATCTTATTTGGCTGGGAGAAAACAGCAGCATAAACAGCATCATTTTTTGGAAAAGATCGTCTGAAGAAAGTGTGGTCCTTCTCTTCACCAGCTGGAAGCAGCCAGTAATGTCTTGATCTAATTTCTCTCCAAAGACCTAATTATGGTCATCACATCAGCTCTGTCTTAAACAGGCTGCCCTGGGAGGGAGAGAGAACTCTGTACGGCAAGTCTAGTAAATGGCGCAGAGACCAGAGAAGCTGTCATACTTAATTTTACAGGAATGTTATGTCCACTGTTGCAGTGAATGAAAACCTAGACTAAGTATTTTAAAATAAAATTATTTGTCTCTCTTAATGTTTCCTTTCACTTGCTTATATAATTAATCTATTTATTTTTAACCCAACACTCTATGTAGGTAGCAGAGACAGAGGTTTTGACAGCTTTAGGCAGTGATAAATTACAATCATGTCGGATGATTGAAATTATTTAAATATGATCTACTGACAAGAGAAAGTCAGATAAAAATTGTTCATTCAGGTTTGGAAAATAAAATTTTAAGGCGAACTTGAAAACAATTTAGAGTTCTAAGAAAGCATCCCATTTGCCTGTTTGAAGAATATCATGCTCTGAGGCTTAGGCAAAAATAAGTTTCCAATGTCAGTGCCTTACAGCATGAGGAACCACCATTGTGATGGTGGTTGTCCTAAGTGATCATTCAAGCACCCTTTCTCTGACACTCCCCTCGCCCCCCCATACCTCTTCCTTAAGCTTAAGTAAAAGTTAAAAAAAATCTGTCACTCAGTTGCCACTTTCACAGTTTTTATCACATCTGCACACCATTCTATTGTTATTCACTGAATATTTTTTCTTTAAGTCAACCAAACTAACTCCTTTTTTATTAAGCCTTGTCCCAAGCAAATCCCACTAAATACTTAAATAGATAATAAATTTACCTATCAAATAAAAAATGTTTCAACTGTCACCCACTAAAATAACTCTGTGGGCCTCCGGCAGTGCATGTGCCCCCTTGAAGGAGCGCTGAGCTGGGTGCAGGCAGCAGTGGTCTCAAACCCACACCAGGGCCCTTGAGCACTGCTGCTCCAGTCTGAGTACCCGGGCACAAAGCTTTCTGCTTTTGAACAGTCCCATAGCCCTCTGACAGACAGAAGATGCAGGGAACGCCTCTCTGCCCTCAGGTGGGGAATCCCTTCCTCCCACTGAGCTGGAGGGAGGTCCCACTGATGCATTCAACAACTTGCTCCCTTTTCAAACCAGAAACTTCCACAGTGAAACCCGCTTTTCATGCCTGATGAATGGAGAGGCAGACCTCTTTTCGCTGTGCTTGGAAGGTCTAATTTGTTACTGAGACCTATTTTTACTACTTCTAGGTACTTACTTTCTGCCCCAACATTCCAGGAAGTCCTGGGAAACCCTGTGAAGAGAACAACAAATACAGTGACTGCCTCTGAAATAATGCTTGAAAGGGCTGAGGAAGAGTTTGGTCAGCTCTTCAAGATAAAGTCCTGTCAGTCAGCCAGCCAGCCAGTCAGCCAGTCGGTCAGTCAGTCAGTCAGTCAGCCAGTCAGTCAGCCAGTCAGCAAGTCGGTCAGCCAGTCAACCAGTCAGTCAGTCAGCCAGCCAGCCAGCCAGTCAGTCAGTCAGACAGTCAGACAATCAGCCAGTCAGTCAGTCAGTCAGTCAGCCAGTCAGTCAGCCAGTCAGCCAGTTGGTCAGTCAGCCAGTCGGTCAGTCAGCCAGCCAGCCAGCCAGTCAGACAGTCAGACAGTCAGTCAGTCAGCCAGTCGGCCAGTCAGCCAGCCAGCCAGCCAGTCGGACAGTCAGACAGTCAGTCAGTCAGCCAGCCAGCCAGCCAGTCAGCCAGTCAGTCAGCCAGCCAGTCAGCCAGTCAGTCAGTCAGTCAGCCAGTCAGCCAGCCAGTCAGCCAGTCAGTCAGTCAGCCAGCCAGCCAGCCAGTCAGACAGTCAGACAGTCAGTCAGTCAGCCAGCCAGTCAGACAGTCAGCCAGCCAGCCAACCAGTCAGCCAGTCAGTCAGCCAGCCAGTCAGCCAGCCAGTCAGACAGTCAGACAGTCGGTCAGCCAGTCAGTCAGTCAGATAGCCAGTCAGTCAGACAGACAACCAGTCAGTCAGCCAGCCAGTCAGCCACTCAGTCAGCCAGCCGGTCAGCCAGTCAGCCAGTCAGTCAGTTGGTCAATCAGTCAGTCAGTCAGACAAACAGCCAGTCAGCCAGTCAGCCAGCCAGCTAGTCAGTCAGATAGTCAGTTGGTTAGTCATTCTGACAGTCAGTCAGTCAGTCAGCCATTCATTCATTCAGCCAGTCAGCCTGCAAGATGGGGGTGGGCAGGGGCTGCCACTTCTGTTGAAGTTTATCATTTTTATGCAATGCCCATTACCTTTTCTCCTTTGGGACCCAAGTCACCCCTTTCACCTCTGGATCCCTAGGAGGAAACCACAGGAGAGAGTCAATGAGTTAACTCCACTGGGGGGGAGGGGGAACTGGAGCATTTCAAACTGAAAGCTCCATAGGTCAGCACTCTCACTTCCCAGGCAAAGAAACAGGTTCAGAGGTTAGGAGACTGGCCCAGGGAAGGCATGCTTTGTGAGATAAACTTCTATTTTGACCTCAAAGACCTCTACACTAATAAAGGACAACCCACAGAAAATTCCGGGTCCCAGATTTTCTCTTATCCTCTAGGAAATTTGTCCCCAGGGTCTGGCTGGGTTTTTTGGGTTTTGCTCCGTTTTTGACAGACAAGAAGGTTGTGTGGTAGAAGCTTGCTCTAAGAACACATCTGCCATTTTTGTGCAGCACCCCATGTCAGCTGTGTTCACGCTGCACCTGGCACAACTTTCAGCTCTCACTGCCCCGCCTGAGGGGTTTCCACCTCCTCCGGGAGCTCCTCCCTAACCCACGTGCCCTGGCTAGGAGGCCCCTCACTCCTGTCTCGCAGCCCCCTGACAAAGGACAGGGTAATATCTAGGAGTGGTGGCTGCAGTCGCTGACTAAAGTGACCCCTGGGCCCATCCTCTGCTCATCACTGACCCCAGAACCAACAGCCCAGACCAGGCTCTGGGGAGCCATCAGAGACAAGCACCAACCTTTTCCCCTCTGGATCCAGGGTAGCCCTAAAAGAAAGCAGAAGGTGAATTGACAATCAGCCCTGTAGGACCTTTGGGTTTGGTGCAAGAGTGGAAGCCATCCCTGTATGTGGTGGTGAGATGTGTCTCCACATTGGGCTGCACGTTTTTTTGGGGGCGTGGGGGAGTTGCAGCAGTAAATACAAAGATGTCCCTGAGGGTTGTGTTTAAACCAGGGCTAAAAAGAACACTGCTTTTCTTACTCTCCCAAAGGTCCGAACAAAGGTTTCCATCTGCTTTGTTGTCCAGGGGCTTGACCCTCGTTGCCCAAGATAACGGCAGGAATGGCATCCCTCTGCCCCTGTGTCCCAGGACATGATGTCCCCCAAAGGGCTGGTAAAGATAAGCACACTCTGTCAAGGGGCTCTCCAATATCTGTGACAATCCCCAGCCCAGGACGGCAGCCACACAGTCCCCACTTTATAGGCATCAGCTGCTCCAGAGCCTTAGTAAGAAGGCCTGGAAAAATCTATCTGGACCAACACACTGACCTTGGAGCCCATTGGTCCTCTTGACCCTGGCAAGCCCATCATCCCCAGGTCACCTTTTTCACCCTGTGGGAATCAGAAGAAGGGGGAAAAAAGACCTACAGTGACATTTCCTAGAGAAACTGAACCAGGAAAGGCGTGGGTAAGATCAGGATAGAACTGGGGACACTGGGGCTGGCCTGTGAATCTGAGGACCCCAAATCCTCCCTTGCTGGCTCCCAGGGGCCCAAGACTACAGACTCCACACTTCATTCTGGTATTTGACATGAAACATAGAATGAAATTGTCCAAGGTAGAGCAGATCTTCAAACTAAATGCTCACTAACATGTTGTAAATCGATGTTTGATCTTCTCCCAGAGAAGGCTGGGAAAGGGAGGGGGAGAGAGCATGCAGGCACTGGGGCCTCAAAGGACAAGGTATCCGCACCCCCAAAAAACTACATCTGCTCTACTCTTTGCATAGTGAGGGCCTTTCTGATGTTTCCATATACTCTTACCCTACGTTTGCAGCCAAGCAGAGTGAACATCAGCCTCTGGGTGTATACTACGGAGGCTGGGGACTAGGATTCATGGGTGGGATCTGTTACCCCTCAGAATGGTTTACAGTTGGAACTTTCAGTGCCCTTTGTGCTGAAAAATTTTAACCAGCGATAAACGGTAGAAATATAAGGTGAAACACATGCTTAATATTAAACTTTTTTTAGAAGTCACATTAAAAGTAAAACTAAACAGATGGAATTAACTTTAACAACATATTTTATTTACTCTAATTAATTTAATCTAATTATCATTTTAAACATGCCATCAATGTAAAAATTATTCATGAGAGGTTTACAATCCATTTTTCATAATAAATATTTGAAATCTGTTGTGTATTTTACATTTAAATCACATCTCAATTCAGGTGCTAAATTTTCCCCTAAAATACTTGATCTGTATTTAGATTTCAAAAAATTTATAGTTAAAAAAGCAGATTCACATACTCAATTTACTCCAAAATACTTATATATTTTCAACTAACTGAATTGAGTACAGGTTTTTAAATTCAAACTTAAATTCATTAAAATTAAAGATTCAGTTCCTTAGCGGCACTAGGCATGTTTCAAGGGTTCAGTGGCCACATGTGGCTAGTGGCTGCCATATTGGACGGCTCAGCTCTATACAGTGGATTTTTCAAGAAATATCCTTGGGACTTTTCCTAAGAGGACTGGGAACAATTTTCTATTCTCAGAATAAATACAGCCAATAAGTGAGTCAGAGCAGACAGTGACATTCACCTGCTCACCCCTGACTTCTGCAGGTCAAATTTCGGAGTCGTGGCCTCTGCACCCAATAGTCTATGACCAAAGTGTGTAAAAAGACATGGGTGTGGATGTATTAGCTTTTCCTAACCTGTCTGAGGATGGGGATTTCACCAGCATTTGGCAATCCCTCTGTGAATATAGGATTTCCGTTGTTCCAGCCCCCAACTCCCATGCCCTCACCCTCCACCCCCTGCATGACAGGCCAACAGCTTCCCAGGCACAAGCCCCTCTTGCGTCATCTCAGGGAACCAAAGAATTGCACACTAACTCTCAGGACAAAGGAGGACCGGGCCCCTGGGAAAGAGGTGGCAGCCCTTCGTTTCTCCTCTCACAGAAGCTGAGCTGTGGGAATGACCAAGGTCTTGCTGTCCAAGCAAAGGAGGAAGTGTTTAGGGACCTCGGGTCAGTCCTCAGGCTCTCTCCTTCCTCCCCATCTGGAGGAAGTGAGTTTCACCGACTATGTGCCAGGGGCCTGGGGAGCCGCCATCTTCTCCCCTCCAGTTCTGATGCCACTGGAGCCCTGAGAGCTTCCACACTTACCCTGGGGCCTTCAGGGCCGGGCCAGCCAACAGGCCCAGGCATGCCAGGAACACCTGGGGGGCCGGGTCTGCCCTTCAAAGACAGAGAACAAAAGTCAGGACAACTGGGTTTGTTTCCCTCCCTCTAAAAACACACATTTATCTCTGTGGCCTAGAGGGGAGTATGGGGCCTCCAAGCATGGCCCCAGGACACTCATCCCCACCCTCCAAAGACTGATGGCCTAGAAAGTTGGGCCACTCGGGTATGAGTTAAAGCCCTTGGTGTCACATTATGTCGACACACAAGATTTTTCTATTCAAGAAATGGAAGGTGGTAGGGAAGGGATTCTAAACTTCTTGGTTCTTCGATCGTTATCATCTCTACCCATCCACCCAAATGTCCCCTGCATTCCCATAGGTTCTCCCCAAGGAGGCAGTGTAGGGGGGAGAGGATTATGTTTGGAGAGCAGCAGCAGATGCTGGGGGTACTCCCTCAGGGTCTTTCCCCCCTGCTCAGCATGCCCATTTCCCAGGGGCTACCTTCCTTGCTGTACCAACACTTTCCTTCTTACAACCTGCAAGTGTGGGTTTGCCGGGGGCAATTGGAGCTGCCCAGCAATGGATGTACCTCCCCTTCCTGCAGCCAACAGCCCAGCCCCCTTACATCAAGGTAAGGCAGGACAAATTCTCTGGTGCCATTCACACTCCAGAGCTCCCCTAGGGATCAGACTGAAGTTGGATGTCATCTGATACCACCCCACGCTGGGTTTCTTTCCCTGCCCCATCTGGGTCTCCCCTCCCCTCAGGCTCCTCTGGAGAGAGCTCCCTTAATCATTAATTCACTTGCACATGGCATGGACCATCTCAATCTCTGTGTCTAGGGAACCCAACATAAGCCAAGGAGCTATGGAAGAGTAAGCCCTGCAAGAGAGCATGGGAGCAGCGACTTGGGGTCTATGTTGACCTCTGCACCCACTGGCTAATTTCAGTTAGCCAAGCTGGAGATGTGGAAGGCTCAGCCCCTACCCAGACATCACAGGCACTGGCATGTGTACTAGTTCCTGCTCCTGCCTTCCTCATCCACGGCAGACATCACTAATCAATCACGGCCCTTGTTAGTCCTGAGCATGGAGACGATGGCAGAATCCTCCCAGCCCAGCACTTCAGTCGACCGCTGGGCCTTGACTGGAGTGGTCAGCTGTGCCTTAAAGGGTTGGAACTTTGCCTTACAAAGGTCTGTTTGAGGCCTTATAGTGAAAATAGTGAAAGTATTTGAATAAAACATTTAATGGGGAAAATAGTAATTTATATTTAGAACCAGAGGCATCTTTCTTGGCCAAAGTTTTGAACCTTCTTCTATATCACCAAGACCTACAATTTCAGTGCCAGCATCCATTGACTACAGCAAGCGGCAGGGGGTTGACTCCTTCCTGACACTAATGAGAACCTTAATAACATGTGTTTGGTTTCCTGAGTCCCTGTGACCTGAAGTAACTCCCACTTATTTCAGCTGGGCCTTAAAGCAAAGCCATTTGTTTCTGTCTGACACTTTATTCCGCTTTAATCAAATTGACAGTGAGAGTCATTTGGTGCCGCTGGCTGAGGCCTTGGAGGGTTTCTCTGATGGATGGCAGGATGAGGTGGTGTGAGGCTGGGGGAAATCTGGCCAGGCTTGGCAGCCTCTGGCAGAAGTCCAAATGCCAGTCACTACTGTCCTCATCAGGGTGGCAGTGCTGTCATCAGCCATCTGGGTATCAGGGCCGCGGAGGTGTGCGGCTGGTCCCCACCCCTAGGAGTGCGCACACTCATGCACACCGAGCACAGCTGCCCGCGTAATGCTGACAGAACAGCATGGACCATACCTTCCTTCCCGGTCGGCCAAGCTCCCCCTGTGGATGGAGAAGACAGGTAAGCAGAGGCTGCTTTGGAGGAAAAGTTCTGGAATCAGAGGGCTTAGCAGGGCTGATGAGTGGGCATGCCCATGCGGCTTGGTCACCTGGCGGTTCACAGCACCCCCGCCACGTCAGGGGGCCCCCCCAGATGCACCGGCGGGGTCCCACACCTTCAGCAGCCCAGTCACCCCGGAGCCTATCCTCACGCACTTAAGGCAGGATTAGCACGTGCTTTGAAATCTGAACTTGCAAACCCTCAGTGGCGCCCCCAGAAAACAGGCTGGAACTACCAAGGAGAGGTGGGGTGAAGACACAGGTGGTTCGTACCTTTTCTCCCCTTGGTCCTGTCTTGCCGGGAAGCCCAGGCGGGCCCTACACAATCAAGATAAGAAGTGAAGAAAGCATGCATGAGCCCAAGGCAGGCCGGTGGGAGGAAGCCAAGGCCGGGAGGGGCTCCTTGGGCCCTAGCTCCTCAGCAGCCTCCTTCTCTCCGCAGATTCAGGGCTCCAGACACGGCAGGAAGGACACTCCACACTCTCCAGCCCAGGACCCTCCTCCCTAGGCCCCCTCTTCTTGCTTTCTCCAGGCTGTTTCCAGCAGCACCATTGTAATGAATGGTCACACACCTACTCTCTGTGATTTTCATTTTCTCCCTGGAATTCTTGGGTTGCCCGAAACATCCTAAGTGCTTGGTGAGAGCAGCTAAAGAGACGTGAAGATATGCTATTTGCTGACAACGAGATGCTGCACCACCTCTCACGTCTTTTCAGCTGCTCTTACCAAGTTTCCCTGGGGCCCAGACAAGGCAGAAGTTAGGCTTTGCTCGCAGGAGCAGCTGACACAGAAATTCCCATGGTGGATCTATGGGTACCAGGTACAGCAAAAGTCTTCTGTTTTAAGATGTGAAGAGTGCGTTTTTGTCCCACGGCCCGGCCACGGGAGTCCATGCCACTCTCTCACTTCGTCCCAGCTTACCCTTCCCCCTCCCCATGTCCTTAAGTCTATTCTCTACGTCTGCATCTTTATTCCTGTCCTGCCCCTAGGTTCTTCAGAACCTTTTCTTTTTTTTTAGATTCCATATATATGTGTTAGCATACAGTATTCATTTTATTTTTCTCTTTCTGACTTATTTCACTCTGTATGACAGACTGTAGGTCCTTCCACCTCACCACAAATAACTCAATTTCATTTCTTTTTATGGCTGAGTAATATTCCATTGTATATATGTGCCACATCTTCTTTATCTGTTCATCTGTCGATGGGCACTTAGGTTGCTTCCATGTCCTGGCTATTGTAAATAGAGCTGCAATGAACATTGTGGTACGTGACTCTTTTTGAATTATGGTTTTCTCAGGGTATATGCCCAGTAGTGGGATTGCTGGGTCGTATGGTAGTTCTATTTGTAGTTTTCTAAGGAACCTCCATACTGTTCTCCATAGTGGCTGTATCACTTTACATTCCAACCAACAGTGCTAGAGGGTTCCCTTTTCTCCACACCCTCTCCAGCATTTATTGTTTGTAGATTTTTTGATGATGGCCATTCTGACTGATGTGAGGTGATACCTCATTGTAGTTTTGATTTGCATTTCTCTAATGATTAGTGATGTTGAGCATCCTTTCATGTGTTTGTTGGCAATCTGTATATCTTCTTTGCAGAAATGTCTGTTTAGGTTTTCTGCCCATTTTTGGAATGGGTTGTTTGTTTCTTTGATATTGAGCTGTATGAGCTGCTTGTATATTTTGGAGATTAATCCTTTGTCAGTTGCTTCATATGCAAATATTTTCTCCCATTCTGAGGGTTGTCTTTTGGTCTTGTTTATGGTTTCCTTTGCTGTGCAAAAGCTTTGAAGTTTCCTTAGGTCCCATTTGCTTATTTTTGGTTTTATTTCCATTTCTCTAGGAAGGGGGTCAAAAAGGATCTTGCTGTGATTTATGTCATAGTGTGTTCTGCCTATGTTTTCCTCTAAGAGCTTTATAGTGTCTGGCCTTACTGTCCCCTGTTTCTTGTAGGCAAGACTCCAGCCTCTATGACCTTCCCTGAGTTCCAAAGGGTGGATTCGAACAAAGGACGAGCAGCCAGGAGACCACCTGAGGCAAGATTAAACGGACCAGAGAAGCTCATCAAGGTGAGGAGATGCGGTTGAAGGAGGGCAGGCCCTGCTCACACCCTAATCTTGTCAGAGACCCCACCCTTGAACCACTGTTATAAAACTCTTCATCCAGTCCTCTGGGGTTGGGACACACAGTTCTGAGGGCATTAGCCCGCTGTGGCCCCCTTTGCCTGGCAAAGTAATAAAGCTGTCCTCTTCTACTTCACCCAAAACTCTGTCTCTGAGATTTGATTCGGCACCAGTGCAGGGAGGCTGAGCTTTCAGCATCATTTCTCATGTGCTATCACTTGCTGTCAGCATGGACTTCAAGGCTGGGAAGATAGAAATCCCCCCAGAGCTGACCCTCGGGTGCCCACCATGCCTTTATGCGGACTCCCCAGCCCCTCTGTGGCAGCTCTGGTCCACCTGTTTTCCTCATTGCATTCAACAAATATTGATGGGGAAGCTCTACACCCCGGGCACTGGTGTGGGCTGGGCACACAGCATGAGCAAGGTAGACAATGTCCCTGCTCGCAAGACCAGGGGTCAGTTTACTGGTTCTGTAAGAAGCCAGATAGGAAGTATCTTAGGCTTTGGCTCTGATATAGCAATTCTGTCACAACTACTCAACTCTACCCGTTAGTGCAAAAGCAGCCAGAGGCGATAATATTTAACTACAAAAAAAAGCCAGATTGGGCCCCTGGCCATAGTTTGCCAACCCCAGCCATAGAGCTGACAATTTATGGAGGGGAGACCAAGGAGCCAGGAACAAAAAATAAGAAAACCATAACAACGTGAGAAAACTCTGCCGAGAAAGAAAATAGGTCATTGCGTGGAGAGTGACGGGGAGGGTACTGCAGGCGGAGTGGTCGAGCAGACGTGTCTGAGGAGGTGGCGGGCACACTGAGTGCTGAGGGACAAAGGAGCTGGCCATGGTGAAAATCAGAAGGCAGAAAGTGCCAAACAGCCGGAGCCACAAGCCTCAGGGCCCTAAGGCTGGAGCAAGCTTCGGGTGCTTGAGGACTCAACAGGTGCACTGTGGCTGCTTTGAGTGGGCAGTGGTGGTCGTTTGAGGTGATGCAGGAGATAACGGGTCCCCGCGTGTGGGCTTTGCTCCCAGGGTGAGGAGTTTGTCTGGTCTTCTTCCCATGATGGAAAGCCACAGGAGGGGTTCCCCAGGAAGTGTGACGTAATTCCTCTTTCCCATCCCCATGGCAGGCCCAGACCCCAGGCTGAGGGATGTTCCTCCTCGATGGACCCCCTCTCCCAGGCCGGCCAGAGGGGCCAGGAGTCCATGAGACAGGGTCTCTGGAGGGTACTCTTTGTCTGCCTAGAAAATCCTTTCTCTAGCATTTTGCCTGCTTCTCACTCTTACTTGAGCTTTGGTGGGGAGAGGTGAGCTACGTGGTGCCAGTATCTGGGGGCCAAACTGAGCTCAGGGTAACAAGTTCCCTGTTACCTCCATTTTTCTGGACTGAATGCAGGTACCTCTGGGTCCACTGGTGGGGTCACATTGTCATCAAATGTTTGTCTGGCGATAACTATAATAATAACCACACCCATTATCACCACTTTGGGGGTGCCCAAGCGACCAAGCAGCTCACTTGGTCATCTCCCAAATCCAGTACTGCAAGGGAAGTTATTATCCCCATTGTGTGGAGGAGGACATCAAGGCTGGGAGGCAGAATCCCCCAGAGATGAACCAGTGTTCTGTCCATGTGGTTCCTCCAGGGCAGGAAGACAACCTCATGTCACCTGAAAACGGGCAGCTCTGCCCAGAGGGCATCCCTGCTCTGAACAGAGGACAGCGGGGTAGGGCCTGGGGGATGCACCGACCTGGGGCCCCGGAGGCCCGGGGGAGCTGAGCGACCCTTGCACGCATGGGGGCCGTGTGGTCTCCAGTTCCAGGGCGAGATTCTTCATGTCTGGGGAGAGAAGCTTCAAGGCAAAGCGACACAGGTTACAGGTCAGACTTGGAGGACAGAAGAATGGTTACCTCCTGGACACAGACCTGTTCTATAGCCCAGCCCCTGAGGCTGGCGTTTCCCTGACACCTAGTGGGCGTCTCAAGAAGGCGACCTCTGGGTCCCCAGTTTCCATTCTCTCATCTGCTCTGAGACGAACCTGGTTTGAATGGATTACAGAGAGGTAATGACCTCTCGGACGGAGTTAGGAAGCTCACTCAGGGGCCTTTTATCCAATGTCCAGGACAGCACCGTCCAAGAGAAATATAATGTGAGCCACCAATGCGAGACATCCTATATAGTTCAAAATTTCCTGGTAGCCACATAAAAAAGGTAAAAGGAAACAAGTGAAATTAATTTTAATAAGTATTTTATCTTACCCAATATATCCCAAGTATTATTATTTCAATGTATATTCAATGTAAAAAAATTACTGAGATATTTTACATTCTTATAAAATGCATCCAGTGTGTATTTTACACTCAGCACATCTCAACTGGAGCTGGTCACGTACGGCCAGTGGTTACTGTACTGGAGGGTACAGGTCTAAGAGGTTCTGGAAAGATCTGAGCATCTCAAATCCCTGAAATGCCCTGGCCAGCTATCTTCTAGGTCAGCTTCTCCGACCCTGCTCTTTCCTCACCTTTTCCTCTCTCCCCACTTCCGTTCCCTCTCACAGGACTGTTTCCTGTGTCACCTCATGGATATGGTGTAAGTTCAATTCGGGCTGCGGAAGGGAATTTCACAAGCACTTGGGGAGAAGAAAGACAGAAAGGAAAATTCCATGTCCGAGGCACTGATAGGAGCCCAGAAAGTTATAAATTCACCTCAATGTTTTTGAGAGGATGGGACATCTTGCCAAGTCCAATTCCCTGCTGAGAAGCATTTCCCTTCATCACTTGTTTAAGGCGGTGGGAGAACAGACACGCACCAGAAACAGCTAAATGTCCAATCTGGGCTCCGCGTACCACGTGAGGGCAGAGAGCTAGATCCCTCCGGACAGACTCCCACTGAGCAGTGGGGGAGAAGGTGAGCTGTGTGGTGGCCCTGGGACCTGCATTTCTGCTCTCTCATGAGCCCAAAGCTACTCACCGGACTTCGGCCCCCTCTGAAGAACGGTGGTGGGAACAGAGGGGGTGGCGGGGGGGTCAGCAGGCAGCATGCTCTGTGGCCGCCACGCTTCTTCTGATCCAGGCCGGGAAGGGCTGTTCAAAGAAAACAATGCTCATTAGCGTGGGGTCAGTGCTAGGGCCTCTGGGTGTCCACCACACCCGGGAAGACTACATCTCATTTTCAAGTCTCATTTCCAGGCTGTTGGGTGTGAGCACACCTCCTGCCTGTACCTGATCTAGCCCTCCCCTGCTTTCACTGGATAAATGAACAGATGGTGTGGCCACTGTGACCATCACGAGGTCCAGGGCTGCTTCTCCAGACACTGACTGGTCACTCTGTAGATGGGACAAGGAATGCCAAGTTCAAACTTACTCATAAGGTACCCCCAACAGTTGGGGAGAAGGCAGTGTCTGTTAATACCCTTGATGCTGTGCCCAGAAGGAACTGTTCTGAGGGGGGAGGCAGCAGGGCTGGGGGCAGCGCTGATCAGACCCAGAGCCAGGATTTCAAACATAGATTTGACTCCAGACTCTACACAGACATTCGAGGTCACCCATGCTCACTGGAGAGCTAAGGTTTAATGTCTCCAGACACAGGTGTGAGGAGATGAAGAGAGGACCCTGGATACTTACAGCTTCCTTGTCACATGCCTGTGTTCAGTGTTAGTACATGTTCAGTGTTGAAGTGTACCTGGCAGGAAGGACACGGGTCCTAAGTGTACAGCCCACTGGATTCCTGCAAAGGGGACACACCCTAGAAGCCAGCACTTGGGTGGAGACACAGAACTCCCTGGCCTCTAGAAGCCCTTTCAGCTCCTGTCCAGTCTCTGCACTGCTCCCTGTACACCGCCCTGGCTGCTAGCCCTGGGGAGTCCTTGTGCCTGTATTTGAACTTTATATGAACGTGAATTCTTGTGTCCTTCTTTGGCTCTACACAGTGTCTGTGAGGGGCTTCCTGGTCATTGCTTGTCGTCGTTATGCTGCTGAATAGGGCTCCTATTCAGGCTCATGCATTGGCTGGTGGGAGTGGAAATTGCTTCAACCTCTTTGGAAAACTCCCGTCATTGTCTACTAAAGCTGAATATAGGCACATACGATAGCTCAGCAACTCACTCCTAGGTGTTTACCGATGGAAAAGTGAGTACGTGCTCACCCAACACATGTACTAGAACATTCATAGCAGTGAGATCCATAATCGCCCAAAGCTGTAATTTTCCAGCTCCCAGTTTTGGTCTCGTGATGGTACCTCCATCTCCACCCTTTCTCCAAACCTCTGATCTCACAGAACATGGGCAGGTTTCCCCCCACCCCCTGCACTCCTCTTGCCCTGAACCCAGTTTTCAGTCTTGTCTCCCAGGGGACAGTGCTAGCCTTCTCTTTCCACCCTGGGATCCAGGACTTGCCTCACACATCAGGCAACCAGCAGGTGCTCCCCAGAAGGCACCCGGTGTGGGGCAGCTTGTGTCAGCTCCAGCGCCCCGGGAATCACCTCCCTGAGCACACCCACACCCTCACACCCAGCAGAGGAGCATCCACTAGCAGGGCCAATGGTCCTCAGCACCCTCAGACGCAATGCCCCCATTGGTAAGGAATATTTTTAAAGACACCTTTGTTATCCTAAAATGAAATTCATAAATAATACAACATACCTATACAATTAAAAAATCAATATAATGCTCTGAATATAATATAAAAGAGAACTCTCAGAAAAGTGATTTATGATACAAAAATGCATATTTTGACTATAAGTGGTCAGGCATTAGCACATCAGGAAACATGATGATGTAGTTAGATGCTTGCACCTATATGTGAAACCGCAGTGAATGTAACAGTTACGAACACAAGGTGCAGTAGAGGCAACACAAATGCTTCAAGTGACGTGCCCGCTGTGCGATGTGATTTTCTCAAATGATGAAAAACACTGGGTAAAATCCCAACCAAACAAAGCACAGTCATTACTCAGCAGTTGTAGTCTCAGAAAACTCAGTTTCATACTACAACTGTTCAACAAATTTGATGTCAAAGAGAATTAGTTTCTAGGATGAGATAATTATACAGGGTATGTATTATCCATGTGACATTTCAGTCATGTGGGACATGGAACCACTCTTCATGTATGATTCCGCCCCACTCTTTGTGGGAAACCTCTCACCTCAGCCACTGTGACAATTGAAAATGAAAATTTCCAACGTGGCCCCACGAAACACTCTCTGACATAAATTGTAGCAATGTTTTCTTAGGTCAGTCTCCCAAGGCAATAGAAATAAAAGCAAAAATAAACAAATGGGACTTAATCAAACTAATAAGCTTTTGCACAGCGAAGGAAACCATAAACAAAACAAAAAGACAACCTACAGAATGGGAGAAAATATTTGCAAATGATGCAACCAACTAGGGATTAATTTCCAAAATACACAAACAATCATACAGCTCAACAACAAAAAAACAAACAACCCAATCAAAAAATGGGCAGAAGACCTAAATAGACATTTCTCCAAAGAAGATATACAGATTGCCAATAGGCACATGAGAGATGCTCAACATCACTACTTATTAGAGAAATGCAAATCAAAACTACAATGAGGCACCATTTCACACCAGTCAGAATGACCATCATCAAAAAGTCTACAAATAACAAATGCTGGAGAGGGTGTGGAGAAAAGGGAACCCTCCTACACTGTTGGTGGGAATGTAAATGGGTACAGCCACTATGGAGAACAGTATGGAGTTTCCTTAAAAAGCTAAAAATAGAGCTACCATGTGATCTAGCAATCCCACTCCTGGGTATATACCTAGATAAAACTCTAATTCAAAAAATACATGCACCCCTACGTTCATTGCAGCACTATTTACAATTGCCAAGACATGGAAGCAACATAAATGTCCACAGATGGATGGATAAAGAAGATGTGGTACATATATACAATGGAATACTACTCGGCCATAAAAGAGAATAAAATAATGCCATCTGCAGCAACATGGGTGGACATAGAGATTATCATACTAAGTGACGTTAAGTCAGAGTAAGACAAATATATCACTTATATATGGAATCTAAAAAAATGATACAAGTGAACTTATTTACAAAACAGAAACAGACTCACAGACACAGAAAACAAATTTATGGTTACCAAAGGGGAAAGATGGGGGAGGGATAAATTAGGAGTCTGGGATTAGCAGATATAAACTACTATATATAAAGTGGATAAACAACAAGGTCCTTCTGTATAGCACAGGAAACTATATTCAATATCCTGTAATAAACCATAATAGAAAAGAATCTGATATATATATGTATATATCATATATATGAATATATATTCATATTCATATATATATATGAATCACTTGGCTGTATACCAAAATCTAACACAACTTTGTAGTTCAATAAAATACTTCAATAAAAATAAAAAAAATAACAAACAAACAAACAAAATGGCCCCATTAGAAACTGTTGGCTTATCCCATGTTCGGAGACTGGCTTGGTCATGAACAGTCCACAGAATCTGGTTCCCACACAAAAGCAGCATCTGCCCCAGGCCAGGTAAGTTAACAAGGAACTGAGGGAATTCAGAGAAGCAAGGAAGAGGTGATGACCAGCTGGGAGGGACATGGGAGGCTTTCTGGAGGAGGTGGCATTCCTGCTAGCTCTGGAAGATTGGGGAAGATTCAGAAAGGAAGTCTTCCAGACCCAGGAACTGTCTAGGGCAGTCAGGGGCTCTAGAGCTAGGCCTTGAAGGACTGGATGGGGCAGGGGTGATGGAGGAGGAAGGCTCCCCAGGGGGAGGGAGGAACGGCAGGTAGAGACAACGTTCTATTCGGGCCACTTTGACTGCCAGAAGCAGAAGTTCATTCACACCGGCTCAGGTGGGAGAAAAGGGAGGTTCATCATAAAGCTGCCAAATGTTAGGAAGAGCAGGAACTGAAACTCCTGGCACTCCTCTTCTCCTCCCCCCTCCTCTCTCTTCCCCTCTCCTTCCCCCCCCTCCCCTCTCTCCTCTCCCCCCTCCCACCTCCTCTCTCTCCCCCTCCCCCTCCTCTTCTCCCCCTCTCCTCTCTTATGCTTCCTTCTGTGCATCTGTTCACCCTGTCTTTTTTTAATTTCCCCTTTGATTTCTTCGGTGATCCATTGGTTGTTCAGCAGCATATTGTTTAGCCTCCACATGTTTGTGTTTTTTACAGTTTTTTTCTTGTAGTTGATTTCTAATCTCATAGTGTTGTGGTCAGAAAAGATGCTTGATATGATTTCAATTTTCTTAAATTTACCAAGGCTTCCTTTGTGGCCCAGCATGTGATCAATCCTGGAGAATGTTTCATGTGCACTTGAGAAGAATGTGTATTCTGTGGCTTCTGGGTAGAGGGCTCAATAAATATCAAGCAGGTCCAGCTGGTCTAATGTGTCATTTAAGGCCTATGTTTCCTTATTGATCTTCTGTCTGGATGATCTGTCCATTGATGAAAGTGGGGTGTTAAAGTCCCCCGCTATTATTGTGTTACTATTGACTTCTCATTTTATGGCTGTTAGTATTTGCCTTATATTTTGAGGTGCTCGTGTGTTGGGTGCATATATATTTACAATTGTTATATCTTCTTGGATTGATCCCTTGATCATTATGCAGTGTCCTTCTTTGTCTCTTGTAACAGTCTTTATTTTAAAGTCTATTTTGTCTGATATAAGTATTGCTACTCCAGCTTTCTTTTGCTTTCCATTTGCATGGAACACCTTTTTCCATCCCCTCACTTTCAGTCTGTATGTGTCCCTAGATCTGAAGTGGGTCTCTTGTAGACAGCATATATACAGGTCTTGTTTTTGTATCCATTCAGCCAGTCTATCTATGTCTTTTGGTTGGAGCATATAATCCATTTACATTTAAGGTAATTATCGATACGTATGTTCCTAGTGCCATTTTCTTAATTGTTTTGGATTTGTTTTTGCAGGTCCTTTTCCTTCCCTTCCTCTTTTGTTCTCTTCTCTTGTGACTTGACGACTAACTTTACTGTTGTGTTTGGATCCCTTTTTGTGTGCGTATCTATTGTAGATTTTTGGTTTGCAGTTACCATGAGGTTTTGATATAGCAGTCTGTATATAAACA